CGAAGCCCCTCCTTCCCCTCCCCCTCCTCCTCCTCCTCCTCCTCCTCCTCCTCCTCCTCCTCCTCCTCCTCCTCATCCTCCTCCTCCTCCTCCTCACCCCGAACACCCACTAATTGCAACATCTGCATGTGTGTTCCCCTCCGGGGACCTGCCGTGACTCCCGCTCTGCGGGCTCAATCATTCCGAGCGGGCCACTCGCGCGCGCGCATGAGGAATCCTTACAGAACCACTGGTTGCCGACGACTTCAAAGAAAAATATCGGATACCATTGCTACCCCAATAAGAAGGCCAAATGTCTGTGCGCGCGCGTTCGCCGTAATCATCAGAACACCAGGTTTAGGTCGGGCATGTCCCCCTACAGACGGATTTCGGGCGAAAACTAATCAAAAATAGTCAGAAATGTTCGAAAACTCCTGCCCTGACTATTTTTGGACTGTTTTCGAAGATTCGTCCTGTAGAGGGACAGGCCCGACTTAGCACCAAATGCGCTCTGCACCCCTGTGAAATCGGACCCTGCCGGGCCACACGCGCGCGCGCGTGCCGAGATCAGCCGGCAGTCATCGCGCACCCACCGACTCTGTCAAACGAAACTCGGCGGTGGACGAACCTCCCCTTCGTAAACCACCCTCTAGTGAAAACGGCCTAGGATTATGTCGCTCCCATCGTACTTAAGGACCACATCCCAGAAATAATTTCGAGCACCCCGAAAGTGTCGAAAGAGTGTCGAAACAGTGCCGAAACAGTGTCGGACGGGTGTCTCCCAGGGCCCGAAGTTTCGGTACTTTCGTGGTGCTCGAAATTCTTTCTGGAGATCAAGGCTAAAGTAGGTTGGAACATCATAAGCCTAGGACCGAAACCGACGGACCTGGACCCGCAAAAATGACGGCCGCGACGCCCTCGCGAACCGAAGACGGCCAATTCGCTAATCGACGCGTCAGGGAAGGAGGTCTATCGACCTCCGAGAAGCCATGTGGGCCACACCCGCGCGTCCCCCGCCCCCCCCCCCGCGCACATGCCGAAATCATCGAAAAAACAATGTGTCCCCAGGCATGTCAAAAGAGAGATGCTCAAAGCATAAAGAGCACACAACACTCTTTCAGTGAGCAAACTATCAACATGTCTGTGCGCGCACTTCTTCACCATCCTCGTCGGCACCATGGCCATCATCATCGCCAACGTTACCATCGCCGTCGTAATCATGTTCACCGTCATCTTCGCCACCATCACAAATGTCGTCATGATCACCACCACCGTCGTCATCATCGCCATCGTCATTGTAGTCACCAATAAAGTCATCATCATCATCATTATCATCATCATCATCAGCATCATCATCATCATCATCATCATCATCATCATCATCATCATCATCATAATCATATTCAACATATTATTCTTCATCAACGTCATCATCATCATTATCGTCGTCGTCGTCGCCGATGTCGTCGTCACCATGTTGGACCGCCAGGTCCACGCGTCATTGCGCCTCTGAGGGATTGAGTTCCACTGGATAACTACACGTACGGCCTCTTGAGTCTGCCAAAAATTTGCGGGTCGTCCGGCGGGAGATCTGCTCGAGCAAAGGGGCTACTCGCACACGGATGTCCACCGTCAGTTCCACTTCTTAACAAGACTTTAAACTGCACCACCACCCCACCCAAGCTGGCGTCGTCCGTTCCCTGCCGCACACTGCGTTTTGTCAAGTCGTTTGTACACGACCGCTCATTCCAATGATCCTGGCAGAGGACCCAACCACACGCAAATGGGGGTAACGCGTTTTGGGTACCAGTTTCAGTGGAGCTCCAAATGGGACCACCCTCGTGAGAGGTGTGCCGACATGGAGCTGCGCCGACGTGCGAACGCGGCCATTTGGGGCCTGCGGTGGAGCTCCCTCTGGGGCCACGATCCTCGTGAAGGGTGTGCCGAAATGGGCGCGTTGCCTCTATGCGAACGCACCCACTGGTGCCTTCGGAGGAGTTCCCTATGAGGCCAAGGTCCTCGTGAAGAGTGTGCCGACATGGGCGCGGTGCCGCCATGCGAACGCAGCCGATGGGGTCTTCGGTGGAGCTCCCTCTGGGGCCACGATCCTTGCGAGGTGTGCGCATGCGGTGCCGCCATGCGAACGCAGCCACTGGGGCCTTCGGAGGAGCTCCCTATGGGGCCACGATCCTCGTGAGGGGTGTGCCGACATGGGCGCGGTGCCACCATGCGAACGCAGCCACTGGCGCCGTTGGTGGAGCTCCCTATAGGGTCACGATCCTTGTGAGGGATGTGCCAACATGGGTGCGGTGCCGCCATGCGAACGCAGCCGCTGGAGCCTGCGGAGGAGCTCCCTCTGGGGCCACGATCCTCGTGAGGGGTGTACCCACATGGGTGCGGTGCCGCCATGCGAACGCACCCACTGGAGCCCCCAGTGGAGCTCCCTCTGGAGCCACGATCCTTGTGAGGGGTGTGCCAACATGGATGCGGTGCCGCCATGCGAACGCAGCCACTTGGGCCTTCGGAGGAGTTCCCTATGAGGCCAAGGTCCTCGTGAAGAGTGTGCCGACATGGGCGCGGTGCCGCCATGCGAACGCCGAACACTGGGGCCTTCGGCGAATCTCCCTATAGGGCCTTGATCCTCGTGCGGGGTGTGCCGAAACTGGCGTGGTGCCGCCGTGCGAACACAGCCGCTGGGGCCTTCGGTGGAGCTCCCTCTGGGGCCACGATCATCGTGAGGGGTGTGCCGACATGGGTGCAATGCCACCATGCGGTGGAGCTCGCTATGGGGCCACGATCCTCGTGAGGGGTGTGCCGAAACTGGCGCGGTGCCGCCGTGCGAACGCGCCACAAGACGTATGGGGAGTGTGCCGAAATGGGCGCGGTGCCGCTATGCGAACGCACCTTCAGGGCCTTCAGTGGAGCTCCCCCTTGAGCCACAGTCCTCGTGAGGGGTGTGCCCACATGGGCGCGGTGCCGCCATGCGAAGGCACCCACTGGGGCCTTCGGTGGAGCGCCCTCTGGGGCCACGATCCTCGCGAGATCTGTGCCGAAACTGGCGCGGTGCCGCCATGCGAACGCAGCCACTTGGGCCTCTGGTGGAGCTCCCTATTGGGCCACGATCCTCGGGTGCATGGGCGCGGTGCCGCCATGCGAACGCCGACCACTGGCGCCGTCGGTGGAGCTCCCTATGGGGCCACGATCCTTGTGAGGGGTGTGCCGAAATGGGTGGGGTGCCACCATGCGAACGCAGTCATTGGGGCCTTCGGTGGAGCACCCTCTGGGGCCACGATAATCATGAGAGGTGTGCTGACATGGGCGCGGTGCCGCCATGCGAACGCGCCACGAAACGTGTGAGGAAATGTGCCGGCATGGGTGCGGCGCCACCATGCGGCGCATGCGGGCGGTAGCACCGGGACCTTCGGTGGAACTCCCTATGAGGCCACGAAACGCTGTACTGGTTGTGGCGGACGCATGCGGGCGGTAGCACTGGGGGAGGCGCGGGGCGCTCTCTCCTCAAAATAGGGGCCCAACACTACAGGATGGTTAGGAAAAAGGAGGGGGGGAAGGGGGAGGAGGAAGGAGAAGAGATGCGGGGCACTGTCTCTTCAGCACGAGGGCCCAACACCACAGGATGGTTGGGAAAAATTAGCCCGGCGAAGGACCCAACCATATGCAGTTGTGAGTACCGCAATTGTGGGTATCGTCTTTGGTGGAGCTCCGTGTGGACCACGAAACGCTATACTGGGCGGGCGGGGGGGGCGTATGAAAATTTTGCCATTGGGGCCTTCGGTGGAGCTCACTATGGGAAAACGTGGCACTCGCCTTAGCGCTGCGCACATTCGTCTTCAAATTTGCTGGGGCTTCACGGTTGAAAGGCAGGTCGCTTTCAGAATGTGTCTCCCGCCTCAACGCCGCGAAGATTCGTGGTAACAAATTCTGACAAATCGTTCACGGATTGAGGGCAGATCGTTTTCAAATGTGGCCCTGGCCTCGGCGCCGCCCACATTCGTCAAAAGCTTTCCGATTTGAGGGCGGGTCGTTTTCAAAATATGGCTCTCGCCTTAGCGCCGCGCACATTCGTCTTCAAAAGTTGCCAGGGTTTCAAGGATTGAGGGCGGTTCCTCTCAAAGTTTGGCTCTCGCCTAAGCGCCGCGTGCATTCATTTTAAACATTTGCCAGAGCTGCACTGGTTCCAACGGTTAACGTACCAGAAACGGTGTGTTGGAACGATTCAGGATTGTCAGGGCGCAACAGGTACGTTGAGTCGCGGCGTTGAAGTCCCAGGAATGATGGTCTGACACGATTCAGGACCGTCAAGACGCAACAATCAAGTTGATTCTTGGCGTTGAAACCCCGAGAATGTGTTGTAGCACGCTTCAGGATTTTGAAACGGTTGTCTCCCAACGGGGCGCTCCCTTCAGTGGAAATGAACCCTTGTAGGTGCCTATGAAGAGGGAGCTTGAAGGGAGGGTTCATTCTGACATCGTGGATGGCTTTTGGGTTTTCACTGATCCTCCTCCTCCTCATCATCATCGTCATCATCATCATCAGCAGCATCAGCATCATCACCATCGTCTTCATGATCATCCCTCTTCTCCCCATCCTCCTCCTCCACGTCCTCCTCCACCTCCTCCTCCTCCTGGGTTTTATGTTCTCTCTCACTCTCTCGTTCTGTCTCTCCCTCTCTCTCTCTCAAACGTTCCTCCTCCCAACTGCCTCGGTCGAACATTGACCAAACGTTTGTCCACTTTGGCAATTCCACTAAAAATAGAGGCGACTGAGCTTAGCGGCAGGCGTCTTCGATGGTACGCCACGCAGATTGCATCGCCTATAGATTGCCCCGAATAGATCACAACATGTAAGTTCCACTGGTTGGGGTCCGCGCGAGCGAACATGTTTAAACTCGAATGATGCAATTCCACAAATCATGTTGTGGTCTCTGCTGGATACGTTGCTACTGCAATGCTCCGTCTGCCCCTACGCTGTGACATCGCGACGCTCGTGGCAGGCTGTGGCTGTCAGTCGCTCCGGATGCCCCAGTGACGT